GTATTCAAACCAAGCAGCTCCAAGGTTAAAAGAAATCTCCCTTTCCAATATTATACCATGATACCAAATACCAGAATAGGGCAGTGGTGGGAGAAGTACTCAATGTTGTGAAGTAAAAGTACAGATACAGGGGCAAACGATTGCTCAAGTATTAAGTATCTTATGAAAAAATCTATTTACTGTCTGTGTCTGTTTGTTTGGTAAGTTGGTCCTGTTTACCTGTTTGTCCTGTTGTTTATTTGGTTGTTTGTTTGTTTTTATTGTTATATTTTGTCTCCTTTTTGGTCAGTATGTAAAATAGCATTATTGTTTATATTTGTGTTCATGATTTTAATTTATTGTGTTGATATCTGTCTGGTTGATGAAGATTTGCAATCACAGAGACTATGAACACAAAAAAAGTTTTAAAATATCTACTCAAGTAAAACTACTGAAGTACCTGTTTAAAAATGTAACTGTAATTTGTAAAACAAAAAAAGAGTGTAATTCTGATTAAAGAAATACCACCAACAACACCAACATTTAGCTGATTTTAAGTGATTCAAATGATTTGTACAATTTTTTTAGCTGTTTGTGTGTTTTTGTGTGTTTGGTTTGCTCAGAGTTGGGACGATAACTCAAATTAAATGTGTTAAAAATAAATCTCAGCCATTTCAGCAGATCTCAAACTTTTTTTTTTCAGTCCAGATCTAAAATGTAGTGGAGGTAAAAAGTACAGATACCTGTTCTCAAATATAGTGAAGTAAAAGTAAAAAGTATCCACTGTAAAATGTACATACGTGAAGTACAGATACCTAAAAAAAAATTTGTACTTAAGAATTGTACTTTTATTTTTGTACTTCATTGTCTTCCACCACTGAGGCAGGGTTCATAATTATTTCTATATTATTTCTCTTCGTCCTTCCTTCTTTTTGTTCAAGCCGGTAATGACAAAGCACATACCGTAATGGTTAGAACATGTTGTTATGTTAATTGGCAGATTTTTGTTGTTGTTCTTTTTAAAGGTGCATTGTGTAACTTCTGGTGGAGTGTCCGTCAGATGCGTTTCTCCATGGAGATGTTATTGCTTTGTCTGGAATGTTTCACAGTACGGTATTAAACCTTTCTATCTTCATGGAGACCAAACCAGACCAAGTTACAGATCAGATCTGTGGAGAGGCGACCCCACTCACAGTCAGAATGTCTTTGTTTTTCTAGATGTTTTTGTACCATAAAACCACTTGTAATTGAATAAATGTCAAGTAGAGCTGCTTAATGTCACACTGTGGAACATTCCAGACAGAGCAATGGTATATCCCTAGGAACAAGTAGGTGACAGACCCCCAACCAAAAATGACATAGTGCACATTGATTTAAATTTTAGCTGTAAGTGGTTACTAGTCAGATCTGTAAAAGGCAACCCCCTGACCTCCTAGTAAGAATGTATATTTTTCAAGATATTTATTTAGCTATAACAATACCCACAACTGAGTAAATGTAAGATATACATCTTTTTAATGCTGTACTGTGGAAGAGCACGTGCCAGGCCACTTACCAGAAAAAAAACTTGCATAGTTCAGCTTTAATTTAGAACAAAAATGTATTCATGTTTTAAAATTGACTCTTGTGAGCTTTTATAATGCTGTTATCTCCTCAAAAACAGACCTGGAGTTGTGTTTTGCTTCATTCACACATGTCTGAGTAATCCTTTATTATGAGTCTGTTTACATCTTGTCTTGACTACTGTAATGTCCTGTACACAGGTATGAGTCAAGCTCACCTGTCACACTGACAGTTAGTCCAAAATTCTTCGCACGCCGAAGAGAACACATTACACCTATTTTATCCTCATTGCACTGGCTCAACATTCATTTTAGAGTTGATTTTAATATAGTATTGTTTGTTTTCAAAGCACTTCATGGACTGGCCCCAATGTACATTTTAGACCTCCTTGTCCTCTAAACTTCGCTCGCTCTGAGTTCTGACGGCCAGCTTCAACTCGTCTTCCCAAAAACAAGACTCAAATGTCGGGGTGACCAGGTTTTTTCTGTGGAGAGCGTCCTTTCAGTCGATTCTTTTAAGTCTCGTTTAAAAACACACTTTTACTCACTGGCTTTTAACACGGAGTGAGAATTGTGTGACCTTTGACTGTCTTTTATTGATTCTATTTGCTATTTTATTTGCTCATTTTAGTATGTTTTATGTTTTTTATTGACTTGCTTATTTATTTTATGTTTTATTTTATTTAATGTGTTAATTTATTTTGTGCTACCCTGTGCATCACTTTGGAGACTTTGTGTTGGAAAAATTTTGCTATATAAATAAAGTTGGATTGGGTTGGAACGCAAAGCTCAAAATACTTTGTTCCACCCTGTGATGTCATATAGTGGTAATTTTTAAGGCCCCTTCCACACTAGTATGTATTCGAGTCATTTTCGTTGCAGATGCAGTGTTCGTCCACAGTAATCTGATGGACAACAGCTCCAGAGACTGAACGATCTGGTGCCCCCAGCTCCCACGAATTCATTTGAGTACAGGTCAAATCCGGCACTGTGTGGACGCCTGAAAACGCTTATACACTGATGTAGGTCTATGCACCCCGAAGTAGCTAATTCACTGCGTATGACCTGCAGACGTGTAATCTCTGAAAAGTTTAACATGAATTATCTCCAACGTGACAGAAGCACAGAACAAACTCACCATCAGCAGAACACCCCTCTGTCACAGAAACAACACATGTGAACCGCATCAGCGCACAAGGAGCGTTAGTTTATGCAAATTGTCCATGCGGTTTTAAGTTTAACTTCTGCAAAACGTAAACAAATATGCTCAAAGCTGTGTGGGTAAGGAAGGATTGCAGACACAGAAACGACGTGTGTGGATGCAGATCGTTTCCGATGCGGTGATATAGTGAAACACAGATTCATTAAAGTGGAAATGGGGTCTAAGTTAACAGCTACATTTTACCTTTTGTTCAGTAGAGATCGACAATTCCAGAGCTGATATTATCCAAATGATTCTAGGGAGGGTGTATGGAGTTTAAAAACAAAGTATTACCTCATGACATCATAAGGTGGAACAGTGTTTTCTATTTGAGAGAAGAACAGCCTAAATATGCAGGGTTTGTGTGTTAAATATGTGTGAGTAAAACAAAACACAACTCCAGGTATGTTTGTGATAAGGAAACAACATTATAATATACAAATGGACACTACATCTATTTCTGGCACTGTAATTCCCCTGTTGGCTATTAATAAGGTATATATATGTCTATTTGGAATTCAGTGTACATTATTTACAAGATGGATGGAGTTGTTTTCGAACATTTGTTTTCACTGAATCAGATTTTTCACATTGCAATCTCCACCCATGTCATTGTAGCTAAGTCTCCTTTTATTTTGCCGTCTGGACACTCCGTTTAAAAGCATGCTGCTCTAAGTCTTATACTGGTGTTTACTACAATAAAGGGCAAGGCTTTTCGCACACAAACACACACACACACACACACACTGTACAGCTGCAGCTCTATTTCCTGCACGTGTTCATCTTAAACCACTTCCTCTGAGCTTTAAATCATCGCACGAAGAAAAAGAGAGACAAACGAAATGTAAAAAAATGAAATGCATTACAATACGCCTACACATTTTTATGTATTTTACTTTTAACGCACTGGAAACTGCACAATCTCTAGGTAAAAACTTGGCAAGTAAAATGATCTACCAATGGGATAAGTGTGTTTTTCTAAAGGTGCACTGTGTAACTTCTCAATATTCCAAAGTTTCAAGTTTTCAATCTGCATAGAAACAAGCAGGAGATACCACCAGGCTAATTTATAGGTGAGATCTGTGAAGAGGCGACCCCACTCACAGTAAGAATGTGTGTTTTTAAAGGTATTTAAGCGATAAAAACACCAATATTTGCATATATAAATTTATATTTTCGGGCAAGGCAATAACATCTTCATGGTAACGGACTCCCAGCCTTAAAAATTAGTGCATTAGCAGTGCACCAACTCAAGCAACATTAGATTTTGATGTTTTGTTGTGTCGCAAGATGTATTTTCATATTTTAAGTACAAAAAGTCTTGTTCCACTCGCAGATAATTTTGCTTAAGTGAAATTTACTCAAATCATGATAAAACTTTCTGTATTCAAGTACATTTTTGCAGTTTCACAAAAAATATTGCATAATTTTGTTTATAATTTTGCTTCCAGGGTTGGACACGGTATGCAGGTGTGACAGACAGAGGTATGTTACCTAGCAACTATAAGGGCCAAAACAAAATTACATAATATGATTTAAACTAATAAAAATAGAGACAAGGGTGTAGATCCTAGTCACACACTTAAAAACAATTAAAGGAGCTAGAGGTCAAAGAGGTCACTGTCCTTAAAGGGCCTATATTAAGTTATTTCCTGATTTATGTTATAATGTTGTTTCTTCGTCACAAACAGACCTGGAGTTGTGTTTTGTTTCATTCACACATGTTTAACACACAAATCCTGCATATTTAGACCCTTTCCTGAGTTCTACCCCAGTCCACCTTGTGATGTCATGTGGTAATACAAGTGTTTCATTGTGTTTTTAAACTCCATACATCTTCACTAGAATCATTTGGATGATTTCAGCCCTGGAACTGCCAACCTCTACTGAACTAAAGGTCAAAGGTAGCTGCTAACTTGAAAATGACAGCCTCGTGCCATCACAAGGTGGAACAGAGCAGTTTGAGCTTTGGGGATGGATAGACAGAGTCATAATAAAGGATTACTCAAACAAACAAAACAACTCCAGGTATGTTTTTGATGGGGTAAGAACATTAGAACATGGCTTAAAGCTCACGAGACAATTTTGAATAACATAGGATCTTGAATACATTCATTCAGAGATAAATCATTACTCATAGTATTTTCTTTAGCAGCACATGACCATCATACAATACATTAAGACTAATTTCAGTCTCCATGGATACGAGAAACACAAACAGCTCATTTCACAAAATCCAACAGTCCCTTACTTGTGTCCATGATATAATGTTAAAAACTGAGCTCAAAACACAAAATGATTCAAAAACTGCTCAATGTGTGAGCCAGGTAACCACAAGAGCAGCCAACCCCTCTGTTGCCATGGGAAATGTTTAGATACAGTATTTATTCCACTGATTTTTTTTATTTTTATAGTTTATACGCCACTGTCATGCTTGGATAAACTGTAAACGTCACTAAAAACGACTTTCTCTTTGTGTAAATCAAAGCCACATTAAATGATGACACTATCGGAGTAGATTTACTGTAGCAGACAATACACAGCATTAATCTGCGCTAATGCTCTGAATGTGCCACTCTCTTTAAGCACACATCTGAACACTTCACAGTCTGAAGCTCCATAATGGATCTAATGCCTCTTTTATTTCTGAGGATAGAACATAGTGACGTAACAGTCACTGCTCATTAAACTGCTGTAGGATCTGTGTTTGTGCCAAAACCGCCAAATCATAATTAGGTAAGAGCACACAGCAACTGCTACCGAGGCCAAGGGAACGCACACTTCATAATGAAAACACACTAATGAGCATACAGAAATGAACATAGACTAATGAACACACACTGATGAACTTAAATAACTGTCACAAACACGAATGAACTTGACTTAAAGCTCCTTTATTACATGAAACTGACTCTTGGGAAATTTAAGCCATGCTATAATGTTATTGCCCCCTCAAAAACATATCTGGAGTTGTGTTTTGTTTCATTCACACATGTTTGAGTAATCCTTTATTACTGGTCTGTCTACATCTCCAAAGCTCAAAATGCTCTTTTCCACTTTGTAATGTCAGGAATTGTTAGTTTTCAAGTTAACACCTACTTTTTATCTTTAGTTCAATTAGAAATGGGCGATTCCAGAGGTGAAATCATCCAAATGATTTTCGTGAAGGTGTATAGAGTTTAAAAACACAGTGGAGCACTTTCTGTATCACCACATGACATCACAAGGAACATAAATTTGCAGGGTTTGTGTGTTAAAAATTATGAATGAAACCAAACACAACACTTGGTATGTTTTGGATGATGAAACAACTTTATAACATAGATCAGGAAATTGCATAACATGAGCACTTTAATATTAATTTATTGATGTTACAGATAGGTGAGATTTAGTTTTCCTCACCACAGCTGTGTCTGACTTTTCTCATGGGCTCTCCTGTCCAAAAAGAATCACTGTGCTTGTTGAAGTTTTCTCATCTCAGCAGATATTTTCCCCACAATGCAATTTCAGTCAGCGAATACGGAAACATCTGTATAATAAAATATAATGTATGAAACTGTGTCTGTCACAAAAGTGCCAAATGTTTACAGAAAAGCACAGATAGAACTCAATAACAGAGAGAATCCTTCAAAGTATACAGGAAAAGTGTTATTTTTCAAAGGACAATTTTAAGAGCATGGAAATTTTCACAGTATGGCATTAAACGTGTTTATATCCATGGAGACAAGAAGGTGGCACCTCCAGGCCAGTTTGTGGATCAGATCTGTGGAGAGGTGACCCTGTTCACAGTATGCATGTTTTCTGAGCAATTAGCACATGTACTTGTAATTATTAAATTACTGAGTTGATTAGGTTTATCTCGGGGTCTTGTTCTCAAGTGAGGGAAGGATGGAGCGTGAGATTGACAAGTGGATCGGTGCAACGTCGGCAGTGATGCGGTCACTGTATCAGACCGTTGTGGTGAAGAGGGAGCTGAGTCGAAAGCAAAGCTCTCGATTTTTACCGCTCAGTCTACATTCCTGTCCTCATCTATGGTCTTGAGCTTTGGGTAATGACCAAAAGAACCTTAGAGATAGGGTGAGGAGTTCAGTCACATGGGAGAAGCTCGGGGTAGAGCCTCTGCTCCTCCATGTTGAGAGGAGCCAGCTGAGGTGGCTCGGGCATCTGTTCCGGATGCTTCCTGGGCGCCTTCCTCGGGAGGTGTTCAGGGAATGTTCCACCAGGAGGAGGCACCGGGGAAGACCCAGGACACAATGGACGGACTATGTCTCTCGGCTGACCTGGGAACATCTCGGGGTCTGCCCAGAAGAGCTGGAGGATGTCCGACCCGGTCTCGAATAAGAGTAAGAAAATGGATGGATGATTAGGTTTAATGCCATACTATATACATAAACGTTATTCAAATTTTCTGATCTATGTTATAATGCTGTTTCATCATCACAAACATACCTGGAGTTTTGAGTTTTCATTCACACAAACCATGCATAGTTTTTCTCTCAAACAGAAAACTCCACACACCTTCAGAATTATTTGGATGATTTCAGCCCTGGAATTACCAATCTCCACTAAACAAAAGGTAAAAGGTGTTAACTTGAAAACTACCACTTCATGGCATCACAAGCTGGAACAGAGCATTTTGAGCTTCAGAGTTGTAAACAGATTTATAAAGGATTACTCAAAAGTGTGTGAATGAAACAAAACACAGGTATGTTTTTGAGGAACATTTTAACATGACTTAAAGCTCATAGGAGTCATTTTTGCATAATAAAGGACCTTTAAACAAAAAAGACAAAATAAATAAATACATATGGTTTATCTACTGATTTTGTTACATGTTAAACCAAGTGCAAATTTCTGATAAAATATTAGTAGTAATATTCACTTTTAGTACAAATTCTCCCATAGTCTAAAGATAACCCATGATTTTCAAATGGACATAACTCCCCTCCTCTCAGACGTGAACGCCGTCCGTCCTCATATTTGGCATTTCTTCTTCTCTGTGTCACAGTTGTTCCCACACTGCTGCGCTCTGATTGGTCGAGAGGGCCCTGCTGTTTGGATCATGCTACTTTGAAAAGAAAAGAAAGATGGCGGCGCAGTAATAACAAATCACCTCCCTACCATGCATACAGGAGATTACCTAAGGGCTGTGTTAGTCACGGTTGTTTGTTTACTTTATAGTTGGTGCCTGGTAACAAGCAATTAGCGTGACATATTGCAGTAGCTGGGCTTAAAGTCAAGGCCAAAGTTTATTACTTTTATATACGTGAAAATATAAACTGCTATACTAGTACTATAAAACTATAAACTACTATTAAATGACAAAAATATGAAAAAGCAAATGGAACAAAATTCAGTAGTAAAAATGCATGAAACTTTCTACAAAACTTTCTAAAAAATAAACTTTATTTTCTTATTATTTAATTTAATTGCTCTGAAAACTTACAAAATCTTCCACAATATGACATAAAACCTTTCTATCTCCATGGAGAATTTTCTGAAGCTTTAACTATCTTTTTTCCATGGAATCATCCAGCTCCAGAAAGTTGCATACTGTACCTTTAAGACTTAAGTTACAGTGTTCCTTAAGCAGTAGTAGTAGTAGAAGTTGTTATTGTTGTTGTTGTAGTAGTAGTTGTTGTTGTATTAGTTATTGTAGGGGTTGTAGTAATAGAATATATATTTCTAAACAGACCAACAAAGAGTATAGTAATAGTAGTAGAAATAGTAGCAGTAGAAGTAGTTTTAGTAGCAGCAGCAGCAGTAGTAGTAGTAGTAGCAGTAGTAGTAGCAGTTGTAGTAGTAGTAGTAGTAATAGTAGTAGTAGAAGTAGTAGGAGCAATTGTAGTAGTAGTTTTAGTAGCAGCAACAGTATCAGTAGTAGCATCAGTAGTAGCAGTAGTAGTTTTAGTAGTAGCAATAGTAGTAGAAGCAGCAGCAGTAGTAGTATTAGTAGTAGTAGTAGCAATAGTAGTAGAAGTAGTAGTAGTAGTAGTAGTAGTAGTTTTAGTAGCATATATTTACATACATTTGCATTTGCTTATATTGATACAGCCCTGTACACTGTATTATGATAAGCAGCAGTAGTAGTAGTAGTAGTAGTAGTAGTAGTAGTAGTAGTAGTAGTAGTAGTAGTAGTGATAGAAGTAGCAGTAGTAGTAGTAGCAATAGTAGTTGTTGTTGTAGTTATCCTTGTAGCAATAGTAGTAGTTTTAGTAGCATATATTTATATAAATTTACATTCCCTTATATTGATACAGCAATGTACACTGTATTATAAGTAGTAGTAGTTGTAGTAGTAGTTGTTGTTGTAGTAGTAGCAGTAGTAGTAGTAGTAGTAGTAGTAGTTGTAGTAGTAGTAGCAGTAGTAGTAGTAGTAGTAGTAGTAGTAGTTTTAGTAGCATATGTAGTTTTAGCCATTTGAAATTTACATTCACTTATAATGATACAGCAGTATACATATTATTATAAAAGTAGTAGTAGTAGTAGTAGTAGTAGTAGTAGTAGTAGTAGTAGTAGTAGTAGTTGTTGTTGTTGTTGTTGTAGTAGCAGTAGTAGTAGTAGTAGTTGTTGTTGTTGTTGTAGTAGTAGCAGTAGTAGTAGTAGTAGTAGTAGTAGTAGTAGTAGTAGTAGTAGTTGTTGTTGTTGTTTAGTAGTAGCAGTAGTAGTAGTAGTAGTAGTAGTTTTAGTAGCATATGTAGTTTTAGCCATTTGAAATTTGCATTCACTTATAATGATACAGCAGTATACATATTATTATAAAAGTAGTAGTAGTAGTAGTAGTAGTAGTAGTTCGAGTAGCATATATTGTTTTAAAATGTACATTATCTTCTATAGACACAGGCCTATTATATACACACACTATTATGATAACCTAGTGAATGTGCTTTTAAAACCCAGACAGAGCAGCCTATTCTCCCTCTGTCTGCACACTCTGACCCTGGAGATGTGAGCCTGCCTCTCGCCGTTATGTAAAAGCCACTTACGTTAATGGACCCTTGTTCCAGTGATGGCGAGTCCGTCTTGAACATTCCCAGGTCTTATCACAACTCCACATCGTTTCCTCAAAGTTTAACGACCGAAGTTAAGAGCCAAGTCCCTGAAGAGAAACCGTGAGTGAGACTACGTGACCACCGCACACACTCCGATTACACTCACATTTATGACGATTATCAGAAACCAGATCAGATATTTTCAATGACTAACTTAAAGGTGCAGTGTGTAACTTTTCTGGTGGAGTGTCCATTTTCTGGCGATGCCCAGAATGTTCCACAGTATGGCATTAAAGTGTTCTATTTTGCACTGATTTGATTATAAGTTGAAATAGCTCCAAAAGCATGCATTTGTACTGTGAGTTGGCTCGCCTCTCCACATATCTGACCCGTAACCTGACCTGGTGCTGTCATGTACTTGTCTTTATAGCAACAGATACATTTAATACATCTTGAGTAAAATGTGTCTTGCCCATGTGCAAATATTTAGTATAAGCAGCTCTTGAGGTTAAAGTCTGTCCTCTGTATACTGCCTGCATCTAATTATAAAGCCTTTAATTGCTTGATAATCAGGAAGTGTAGGCGCGGTTAGCATTCTAGTTGTGTTAAGATATTGATACTTTGCAGCTGATATTATCAACATTCCCTGCGGGTATGATGCTAACTGTAAGCATGCTCTGTTTAAGATTTATTGGACTTTAATCTGAGCTGTAATTTAACACAATATGACCAAAATAACAAACTTAGGCGGCGTTCAGACTGCAGGGTTTATTGCTCAATTCAGATTTTTTTTTTTTGGTGAAATCAGATTTTTTTTTTTTTTTTGCGAGGCTGTTCACATTTCCAATTAAATGAGATGTGCATGTGATCTCCAGTGTGAACTTTAAACGCTTCAAAAGTGTCCCGCATGCGCATAACATGTCACACGCAGCGAGTGTGCTCAGTGTTTAAAGAAGTCGCCTAAACGCTGGGCTTGTCTCCCAAAATACAGTCCAGTTCTTTCGTAAAATGGACAGGTTACACGTCCACGGCCGTTTTGTTTTTGTTTGAGTCATTAGCCTCCTTGAATTTGGCTCACGGGCTCTTTATTATTTGTTGACATTGGAGCCAAGACCGCCTGTAGCCGAGCTCGGACATTTCTTTGGCAAGCATTTCAAAAAACGCCCGGTTTGGATAAGAGAATTTGACCTGAATACAGCGATCCCCCCCAAATATTAATTAACTCGCTAATCTCGCTTTCCTTCCATTGACTAGACTCTGAGCCTGACGTGTAGGTGGGATGAATGTGACCTGGCAATTCAGACTGAAGCCTCATGTCAAAACATCAGATATGTATCGGTTTTAGGAGCACATATCCAAGTGGCCTGGGTCGCATTTGAAAAAATGGTATCTGTCATTAAAAGATCAGATACAGTTCACACAGGGGTGAAAAAATAGGATTTGGGTCACTTCAGGCTGCAGTCTGAACGTAGCTTTATTTGGTAAAATAGCATTACATCACAAGCTACCATCACATTAGGCAACAGTTTCAGTTAGTCACTTTCACAATTTTAGCTGAAAATCAAACATAGTGTGACCTGATGTTCCTATTTACCCATTACAGTCCCAGTTTCGAGCCCTGTGTCCCCTGTCTCAGCGGATTTATCCAAAACCATTGATTTGTCCCAGTTTCATACAAGAAATGTCAATGTCAGTGTCCTTATTTTTGTCCAATTTGATCTAAACCAGAACTAAATTAAGACTAAAACAGGACACATCACAATCACAATTTTTGACTAATCAGATCCTCACCAACAGTAAAGAGGAGCATAAATTATAATTTCTTTAGCCAAAATACAGAAAATCGTGTTTGCAAATGATTATAAAGTTTTAAAAATTCAATGTCAGAAGTCCCTCAGATTATGACTGAATCCACGTAATCAAACACCTAAAAAGAAGCATCAGACCATCTTAATAGCTAATGTGTGCATTGTGTCACCACGGTAACAGCTGAACGTTCCACCATTAGAGATACATGTAGTACACTTCCAGCGAGATGTCACCTTAAAGTACCAATAGGAGCACATGTTAAAGGTGCGCTATGTAACTTTTTGGTTGGGTTTCCATCAAAATCCTGTTTCTATGGAGATGTGATTGCTCTGTTTCGAATGTTCCACTATATGACTTTACATTTATTCAATTACGGATGGTTTTATAGTTCAAAAATACCTAGAAAACCAAGTATTCCAACTGTGAGCGGGGTTACTTTTCCACAGATCTGACCTGTAACTCGGTCTAGTTTGGTTTCCATGAGTACCTTCCACCGGAAAAGTTACACAGTGCATCTTTAAAGCTCCTTCCCTCTAGATTTACTTCCTTTCTAAATATCTGACATACTTCACTTCAGACGAACCTGTGAGTAATGAAGTCGCTGTGACTTTGCACTTTCCTGTTCGTGGCAGCGCACTGTAAACAGACGGGTCAGAGGTCAAACGCGCCGTGGGAAACGTGCCGCGCCGCAAAGACTTCTGGGTAAAACTTTGATATTCTTCCAGCACGGATGAATTTCCCTTAATCATTTCAGCTGCCTGACGGTTTTATAGCCTATAATTTAGCTGAGCGGACGGCGCAGTAGATAACCCGAGCACGGCTAAAGCTCTGGAGTATTAGCCTGTACTTTGTGGTTAAGGATGAAATGTTCCAGTGAAATTTAAGCTACAGTGACGTGTTTTATTGGGTGAGAGGTATGAGTGAAATGGCACGGTGCTGGTCCTTATATGGGCAACAGGTCAAAACGTCTCCACTCTTATGTAACAAAGCACAGTGCACTTTAATGTATAGAACTACTGGAATGACTCAACTAATATACTTTTTTATTTTTTTTTATGTACGATTACTGCTACTACTACTACTACTACTACTACTACTATTCGTACTACAACAACAACTACTACTACTACCACTACTAATACTACTCTACTACTACTACTACTACTACTACTACTACTACTACTACTATTCTTACTACAACTACTATGACTACTACTACCACTACTTCCACTACTAATACCACTACAACTGCTACTACTACTACTACTACTACTACTGCTACTACTACTATTCTTACTACAACTACTACTACTACTACTACTACCACTACTAATACCACGACTGCTACTGCTACTATTCTTACTACTACTACTATTACTACTATGACTGCCACTACTACTATGATTACTGTTGCTGCTACTACTATTTATTTTTTCTACTACTACTACTACTGCTGCTGCTGCTGCTGCTGCTGCTGCTGCTACTATTACTACTGCTACTATTACTACTACTAACTATTGCTACTACTACTAATACTTCTACCACTACTACTGCTGCTGCTGCTGCTGCCGCCGCCACTGCTGCTATTACTACTATTGCTATTGCTACTACTACTACTACTACTACTACTACTACTACTACTACTACTACTACTACTGCTATTGTTACCCTCTACTATTACCACTATTACTACTACTACTGCTACTACTACTAATACTACTACCACTACTACTACCGCTGCTTCTGCTGCTGCTGCTGCTACTACTACTATACCACTAAAAGTACTTGACACTACTACAACTCTATTGCCTACAATTTCCACTGAAGTTTATTTAGTTCTGTCATTATTATTTTTTATTATAACTTCTCTCTTAGATGTTCTTAGACTTTGCATTGACACAAAAAAATTAACAGACTTGAACTCAAGTTGTCATATCTGAAAGAACCACACCTGCTTCTCCTCTTTTTATCTGCGAACCAGTTGCCCAGTGACTTGGCATTTTTCTTACACCAGATGCCCTGCCGATCACACCAAGCAAGATTAGAGGCAAACCTTCCACCAGAAAAGTTTCATATCGTGGCTTTTACATCCTTCCATATTTTCTTGTCATTCCTTACTGTGCAGTTTCCTCTCCTCTCACCTCTATGAACTTGCAGATTCCTTTTTGTTTACAGCTCAGTTTCAGCGCAGTGACAGATTTAAGAGCCTTTAAAGTCTGTGGGCGGGGCCTATGACACTTCTAAAAGCACAAAACCGTCAATCACTCAACAATAAAGGAGTTAATATGACAACATGGTTCAGGAGAGAAGCTACCGTTTGGTACAAGGAACTCAAAGCCGCACTGATGAGGCAATCTGAGTAAAGCTGTTTGTAATTAATTAGTAGCTTTTTATAAACATGTGATTATCATATTTTGGCAGCATTAAAAAGGGGATTTTTTATTAGTCACTTAGTCACCTCATTATGCCTCGCCCGCTTTTGCTGTAAATGAGACTAACTAATTTCTTATGAGAATTTGGGTGTATTTTGCCAGTAGAATATGAAATAAAGCAGGTTTATTGGCGTAAAATGTTCATGAGTACAAACAAGTCAACACTGCGCTGATTCTCTGGAAGTTTTCATGCAAAATAATACAACACGGCAACTTTTAGAATAAGGTGAATACCATAGTCTGTATAAAGATTTGGACTAAGGGAGTGTGAGTGTCCATACCGTTCAACTCCAGTCAAATGAAGCTCATCGAGGCTGTAGTTATAGGAGCGAATCTGGAGTCACGGTGCATATTTAGAATTTTAACGGCAAGTATCATGGAAACCAAAGAGCCAATCCGGAGCGAGTCTGTTGACGGTAACGCAACTTTCTGCCCGCACCACTGACCTTGACGAAAGACAGCGTCTGATTTGTCTATTAATAATGTTCATATCATTATTTACTTAGACTTAGACAAACTTTATTGATCCACAAGGGAAATTATTTGGACATAGTAGCTCACACACCACAGTAAATACAATAAAGAGCGAAAATATAAATGGTAATAATAAATTCTAAATAAGTAACCAAAAAGATAGCAAGAGACAGGTGTCAAATAAAACATACACATGTAAATGTACAAGTCAAAATAAAATAGAAAAATATGTAATAAAATATAATATGATGGAGCCGGAAGTGCGCCCATGCTTATTTCTTATTTGGAACGCAGTGGCTAGTGGGTCCATTTACAGTCTATGGCTTATACTCAGGGTGGCACAGTCACTGAGTAGTGAGCGTTACTGCCTCACTGCAAAACGTTTGAGGGTTATATTTCTGGTCAGTTAATCTATGTTCAGACTGCAGCCTGAAGTGACCCAAATCCCTTTTTTTTTTTGCCCCATGCGACCTGTATCTGATCTTTTAATGACAATCTGAACGACACAGATCAGATTTTTTTCAAATGTGACCCAGGCCACTTGAATATGTGCTCCTAAAACCAATACATATCAGATCTTTTGACATGTGATTTCAGTCTGAATGGCCAGGTCGCATTCTTCACATATACAAGTCAGGCTTCGAGTCCAGTCAATAGAGGGAAAGTGAGGTTAGCGAGTTTATTAATATTTGGGTGGATCTCTGTATTCAGGCCAAATTGCAGCGGTGTTATCTGAACCGGGCGGTTTTTTGAAATTATTGCCAAATAAATAGCCGAGCACAGCTACAGGCGGTCCTGACTCCAGTGTCAATCAAAAATAAAGAGCCTGCGAGCCAAATGCAAAAAGGCTAAAGACTCAAACAAATGAAACGACCGTGGACGTGTAACCTGTCCATTTTACAAAGAACTGAACTGTATTTTGTTAGACAAGCTTGCCGTTTAGGCTACTTCTGTAAACACTGAACACGCTCACTGTGTGTGACGTCGTCGTGTCCTCTAATGCACATGCGGGACACTTTTGGGGCATTTAAAGTTTACACTGGAGATCACATACAAGTTGCATTTAATTGTAAATGTGAATGACCTCGCAAAAAATAGGATTTCACAAAAAGCACAGCAGTTTGAATGTAGTTTTAAAATCTATTATTCACTTATAATTATGGATATTTAAAGCACTCAAATAACTTATATTTTAAACATTTTCAGTTTGTGGCCTTGCACTTTTAGTTGAGTAATAGTACTTTGAATTAACATTATGCCGCTCTGACTCAGGTACAGTTTGGGCCATCCTATCCAACTCTCCATATGTGCATTGAGTGTGTGGTGTAACCTTTAACTTTTAACAATTTACAGAGGCCAGAGTAGAGTTTAGATGGCAAGTCAACAACAACTAGCATGCTAACAGTGCATTATTGTCATTTCTGGGCTTTGCTATCACTGTAATTGCTTTTAAGGATGTACCAATCTAACATCGACATCGGGTATCTGCTTTCAAATATCGATTCAGAAAGTTTCATAAAGTTTGAATTTTTTTCATTTAAAGAAACTTGTTCAGTAGTTACTTGGCAGTTGCAGTTTTGTCTTGTTTAAGTTTAAAAGGAAAAAAGTTATTATTATTATCAATGCAGTGGTATCAGTTGATATCGGTAGACACTGAAAACAACAGTATCGGAATTGGTATCGGAACAGAAAAAGCTGGTTAGGTGCATCTCTAATTGATTTGTAATGAAATGCAGATTCTGACTGCTTTTACATTGTTATACTAGTGCATTACACATTGGTACTGGTGAAAAACACTCAATTACATGGACAAAAATAAGGTAGCTACAGCCTCTTGATCTGTTAGTTGTCTTTTGAAATAAGAAACCAGCGAGATTTATCTGAGTCAATAAATTACCCCTGAGACTTGGCTGCATCCCGTTCAGTCCCGCTGTTGAATTTCCTGTGTTTTTGTTTCTATTCACACAAACAAAGCCCCCTCCAGTCGTGCTAAATCCACTCTCGAGAGCCTATAAAGCTGAATGAAAGCTTTAACTTAATATTGTAATCCTGACTCGGGACCTCCCACAGTGGAAGAGCGTTGTGTGTACCTCTTCCCCCTCCTGGATCCCCGCGCACTTGACACACAGTTAATCTACAGTCCGCCCCCCCATGGAGCAGGTCCTACTTTGTCTCTCAACGCAGGCATCACTACAAATCAGGGGCAGAGCTGTGTATAATAAATGCGAACGCTGCAGTTTTCTGCAATGTGTCCAATTTAACCTTTGACCTCAACAATGGGAGGTGAAAGAGGCAGCACAAGTGATGGGACAGCAGTGTTTTTAAGGTAAAAATGCCACATATGTTGAAATACAGCTGGAAAAAATATCATGGTAATAAAAAAGCTAACGCTTTGTAATAACTACACTTCAATCATCCTTAATAATCCATGAACAAAGGCTTAATGTAGTTACTAATAGGCTAACTGCTTTCTATACAAATCACATTACAAAACAAAATTCTAACTCTTTCTTCATGATATAATAAGGTTATAAATAAAGATTTAATATAAAGTGGTACCCGATCTACTACTTCTATTACTACATGTCCTACTACTAAAGGTGTAACAGTACACAAAAATTACAGTTTGGTACATACCTCAGTTTTGAGGTCACGGGTCGGTTCATTTTCGGTGCAGTATGGGAACAAAATGCAACATTTGCTTTTGTTTATTTGTGTGTTTATTAAAACAATGATTTGTTTTAACATTATACATACGGGAAAATAAAATAAATAGAAAGTGTTGCTTGGTAATACTAATAAGTTAAATGAAATATTCTCAAATAAGCAGTAAGTATGAAATATTATTAAAAAAATCAATTCCTCAATCAATTCAAAAAGTAAAGTGCAGCACAAACAGTTCCAGCATGAAGTTTTACTCAGTCTTCATATTTTTGGCTGAAAAATCCACTTGTCCACATTGTCTGCAGTAAGTGGGGGAGCGGAGATTCCTTGAATCCGAAAGTGAGGATTGGGGCACGATGACCGTAGTTTTGTGAGGATTCATGTGGTTTGGAGGGACTTAGTCAAGGGGGGGGGGCCACCCTAACTATAAAGCGCTGCAGGAAACACTGCCACCCCAATCACGAACGAGTTCCCTCATGAATATTAAAGAGACGATCCTTCCGTGTAGCTGCACATGTAGTGACAGAATGTAAACACACACAAATTGTGAGAACTCACTTGTGCATAGCCATGCACCTAACCGAATGTCCTGTACTGAAACGGTTCGGCACAAATACATGCACCATTACACCCCTAATACTACTACTACTGATGCTCTTCTACTACTAGTACTATTACTACTACTGCAAAACATTGTTACTGTAAAATCCCAATGCCTTCCAATTGTCTATTGCATCATGTTGTAACGTGTTTTATAGTACTACTCCAAACACAGTTATCTTCTTTTCAGAATTAGCTTTTTTGAAAGCTAATTTGGAAATAATATTAAAGAATTTTAGATTTTTAATATTTATAAAATTATAGAGTACACATTTGCAGCCATCAGCTAGTCCATTACATAGGCCTCTGAGCTAACATATGGTAAATAATGGTAGACACAAAGTTGTAAAATGCTAAAATATTGTTGTTGCAGTTAAGTGTAATAAAGAGTATAACAACATGCATTTACCAATTTATGCATTTACCTTTCCATCAATGCTAACATGCTTGCTTCAGCCACATTGCAAAAACAAAAGACTTGTATTGTCGAAATCCAAAATGGATTTTAAAATGGCCTCGGCAGATCCTCCTAATGTGTTCACTAGTGTAATATATGCATGGTGTTCTAAGGTCTTGGCTCTGATTGTTGTGAATGGGACATAAACCATTTTGACAGTTTGGATGGTCCACCCGCCCCAGACACACCTCTCATTCTCATCCAGGACAAACTCATTTAAAAGCACTATAAATCTCGTCTATTACAGACCGGGGCATTCCTCTGTGTAATTAGCGTGATATAAACCCATACAGACGTTTAAATCTTGTGTAAAAGGGAAGATTTTGTTTGGGTTTCAGCTGGAGATCAGACAAACACGATTAACCAATGAAAGCAATGTGTTTCCTGATAATAACTGCATAAAATGACCTTAAAATACTAGCTTTTTAAAGGTCCTGTAGTGCACAAAATCAATAGATGTTTGAGTAATCCATTTATTATATTAGTCTGTGTACATCTCCAAAGCTCAAAATCCACTGTGTGATGTCATGAAGTGGTGGTT